GAGCTATGTCACTTTTACAAGCATTTAATAAGTGCCTACTCGCCAGGTGCTGTGCTAAGAGTGGCCATACAGCATTTGTAAAGTACTTTGTAAACCTTGAGGTGCTGGATAAATGTTAGCTGTTGACATTACAGGGGAGGAGGTAGAACAGAGGCCTTGGGACAGCAAATGACTTCATCAATGTCACACACTCAGGTTCTGGGAGATATAAGACGCTCAGGATTCCCCACTCCCAGTTTTGCCTACACCACACTGGTCTCTCCTCACATAGTCCTGGGAACCTAGACCCAGGGCTTGGAGGAAGACGGAAAAGAGGTTGAGGGAGTCGGGCTACCTCCACAGCGTTTGCAGAGGCCTGGCCAACAAACATCTTCCTAGTCCATTAAACTTAATGAGGCATTTTATCACCGGGCCGGCCGTTAAGTTATCACTACGATGCTGAGATGTGTTAACATAATTGATGTCAGTCACAGGGTCTGAGAAATGTCTTGTTTTCTAACAGTTTAATCATCGAAACAGGGGAGACAGGTCCCCGGATGTAATTTTAACGTCTAATCAGCCAGCACACAAAGATCCCCTTTGCCAACTCTCTCCTCCTCTCCCAGTCAGCCGTCAGGTGGCAGGTCCTGGAAGACGCAGGAGGAGCCCGGGATGGTTGCGTGTTTCCATCGTGTGTCTACATGCTGGCGTGTTACTGTGTGCACATGCATCTGTGAGTGTGGCTGTCAGCCTGTGTGTATGTTTGTGCTCCAGCACACTTATCTCCCAGTGTTTGTGTGTTGGTTTTTTCCTGTGATTGTCCTCCCACTCCCTGCGGAGTTGGCAGCTGTCGGTGCCAGAGCCCGAGGGAGCCTGCTGCTGCTGGCACCAGTCCTGTCTGCAGCCTAGGGCTCTGGCAGGCGACTGTCTGGCCAGGACGGTGAGCGATGCTGGCTTAGCCTTGGTGCCACTGTCTCCAGAGGCCCTAGCGCCACTCCAGGAAGCCCGGGGGGGGGGGGGGAAGGGGTGTTGACTTCATGGAAATCATCAAGGAGGAATCCTAATTAGAGTAAGCCCCGGCCAGTTTGAAGGGCAGACTAGGACTGGAGGAGGCACACCCAGGCAGCCTGCTACCTTTCCCCCTGGCCCCAAATGCTCCTCTGGACCCGCTGACGGTCCCCTTCTCCCCCTGCCCTTGGCAAAATGGCATTTTCTACAGGGACACATTCAGAAATAAGGTAACTAATTCATGATTCAAAATACGTCTCAAGAAACTCTGTGTTATTAGGGCCGAGAGGGGACTAAGCAGCCAGAATTTCCCTGCTAAGTTGTAGAATTGGCTTTTGGTAACAGCCAACCTGATTTCTCTGACCCTGGTTCCCCTGGAAGAGAGCTGCCCCCTAAGGTTGCCACTTCCCTCTCTGGGCCTCAGTTTCCTGCTGGGTAAAAAGGAGTTGGAACAAAACAATTGAAATCGAAGACCAGGAAATTAAAATGACCAAGCTTAGGTAGGAGAAAACACCTCCGCGGTGGAGGATGGAGTGGATGGGTGTAGAATACCGATGCGTCAGACTTTTTTGACGTCTTGGTTGATTTTGGAGTTTTTCCACTGGTCTTTTTTATTTTTTATTTTGGGGATAGTTCTTTGGGAGGGGGAAGGGATACATTACAGCAGGAAGTCATTTACAAACAAAAGAGAACAGATTATTTTTTAAAAGAGGTTCTTTCCAGCATAGAGTCGTGGTTCTGTGCTTCCTAGATTAGCTTCTGGGAAGGGGTCGGAGCGGTCTGACTCACATCGCCCCTTCTCCCTGCTCTTCCTCGCTCCCCACCCCCGCCCCAGGCCCCACCATACCTCCCCCTCCCAGCGTGTGCGGGAACATCCTCCGCCCGCAGCCCCATTCCGGGAGCCCCCAGGCTCGGCAGCCGGAGGCCACATTAAGCGCTGATTCTATCCCCGGGCCTGCGAGCACGCACGCGGCCGAGGGGAGGGGCCCGGGGGCCGGGGCCAGGGCTGGGGAGAACAAGCTAGCGTCCTCGCTGATTGCTCTGAGCGATTCAGCCGCACACACCGAATCTGGTCCCCGGAGTCCCCCTGTGCCGGAGCAGGGCGCGCGCGGCGGGGGGCTGCGTCTGCCAGCCGCGCTGTGTGGTCGGGCCGCGGGGCCTCCGGGCACACTGAAGGCTTTGCGCCGCGGGTCAGCCCGCGGGAGCGTCCAGCCCTCCAACCTCCCCTCCCCTCCCCTCCCCTCCCTCCCTCAACCCTCTCCCCCTCTCCGAGGTTCTGAACCATTTCGGATCTGACCCCACACTAGCCGTCGCAAAGGTCTGAGAAGCGAAGTCAGGGGATCCCTGAGCAGAGCGGGCCCACAGCCCCAAGCAGCCCCGGGGTGTAGCTCACCCAGAGGCCAGAACTGGGTTAGAACAGTGGGCATTGTTTTGGCCAAGGTCCAGGGGCTGGAGCGGGAGCGGGGCCCGAGATTTTATGGGCGGGGGTGCAGTGGGGAACGGTCCCTTCAGGCTCCCCTTCCTTGGTGATGGCCGATTCCCAGTCTGCAGCTTTGGCGGGGCAGACCCCGGGTGCGGGGATGTAGTGGGTCCAGCCCCCACCTGACTCCACGAAGTCAAAAGATCTGGGTGGCAATCTGCAAGCCAAATGAAGCTAATTTTCACATTACTTATTGCCACGTCCTTCCCTAGGGGCTTCTGTCCTCTCACACACGAGCCCTAAAAGGGCACCCCCAGAATTCTAGGTCAAATTGGAAGGGACGTTTTCTAGTTCAACCTCCTCCGCACCCCCAACCCCTCCATTTTACAGCCTGGGAAACTGAGGCTGAAGTGGAGTTGCCTAAGTTCCTATCCAAGTACTTCGTATACCCACACTTGCCCTTGTTCTGTGACTAGGGTAGAAGACACGTAGAACCCAGGCTTTCTATATAAAATAGCTTTCCTCGAGATCCCACCATCGGTTAGCCAATAGCTCACTCAGCCATAGTGAAAGGAGAGGGCGGTTATCTTAGCTCTGGAAACCTCAGTCTGGGGCCAGTGTTCTGTCTCTGCGGGGCAATGTGTAGACACCTATGCCTCTGCTTATGTGTAGACAACAAGAGGTGGTTGGACTAGGTGACATGATCCTATGTACTGCGTGGTAATGACTGTTTACACACTGGACTAAGGTTACAACAGGAGAGATTTAGAATATAAGCCTGAAGAAAGAAATTCATCTATTTGGGACCAACCACCACTGATCTAGAAGGTGTCTTTGGAAGGACCTTTCTATTCCTACCCTGTTTGTGACTGTGGTGGGTGTCCTTTCTCAGGCACATTATATAGTACCTCCACCAATGAGCTGGTGTGGTCCATCTTCCCTACCACTTAATGCACAAACCACCCAGGTTAGATAAGTTCAATGGGAAGGTGATCCTTCCAGGTCTGGTGGGACGTGGGGGAGGTGTAGAGGTAGGCCGGCGCTACACAGGATGGGGTCCCATAGCACAGCCTAGGCTGGGGCCAGGGCATCCAAAGGCTGTGGGACTGGCCAGTAATCTGTGGAGAGGCTGAGGTAGGCTGCTAGGTAGGGGCTGGTGGGAGAAAGGATAAAGAGGGCCCAGGATGATCATGCCTTCAGCCCCAGAGGGAAGAAGTATTTGAAATCCTGGTTTCAAATTCCAGCTCACTCATGCATTCATTCAACAAACATTTATTATAAGTGCCTATGGGAAAGGCACTGTGCTAGGCTCTGGAAATACAAAGACAAAAATGAAACAGTCCCTGCCCTCAAGGAGCTTACATTCTAGCGGAAAGAAACATGTACACAGATAATACAAAATATATATACAAAGTAAATACAGAGCAATTTCAGTTGGGGTGGGGGGAGCAGGGTCAGGAAAGGAAGGCCTCGTGTAGGAGGTGGCACTTGAACTAGGCCTTGAAGGAAGCTAGAGATTCTAAAACTGAGGAGAGAGAACATTCCAGGCACGGTGGCCAGAGACAGCAGGCCATGTATAGGGAACAGCAAAGTTGGCAGGTTGGACTGAAATGTAGAGTCGATGAGGGGTATGCTGTGTGAAGTAAGCCTAGAAGGGCTATAAATGCCGAACAGGTAAGTCTGTGTTTCATCCTAGTGGCAATAGGGAGCCACTGACACCTAGCAGGGGAGTGACACAGTCAGACCTGTGCTTGGAGAATATCCATTTGGCAGCTGTGTGACAGATTTGGAGTGGAGGCAGCGAAACCACTTAGAAGGCAATTTCGGCAGTTCAGGTGAGAGGTGATGGGGCCTGAACTGGGGCGGTGGCCGTGGGAGTGTTGAGAAGGGGTCAGATGTGGGACATGTGGAGGTAGAAAGGACAAGATTTGGCAACTGGTCAGATACGTGGGACGAAGAGCTGAGGGTAGGGTTGCAAACCTGAGCAATTGGAAGGAGAGTGATGCCCTCGACAGAAGTAGGGACAGTCAGGACCTAAGATGGTTGGGTTTTGGGAAAGAGGAGTCCTGTTCTGGACGCAGTGAGTCTGAGGGGCCTATGGGGCATTCAGCCGGCGAGGCCAGACAGACAGTTGATGTAAGACTAGAGCCGGGGGAGGAGTCAGGGCTGGAAAGATTTGGGAGGCATCTGCATAGAGAAAACGATCCCTTGGGAGCAGAGATCACCATTAATGATAGTGAAAGTTGACATTTATAGTGTTTTAGGCTTTGCAAAGTGCTTTATATACATTTTCTCATTTGACCCTCATAATAACCTGGTGAGTTAAGTGCTAACATTATGCCCATTTTACAGATATGGAAATAGGCTCAGAAAGGTCAGTAAACGACATGGACACCATCACATGTCTGGTGTTAAAAGCAGGATTTAATCTGGTTCTCTCCTTCAGATTCTAGCACCGTTCCCCATCCGACCATTCTTGCCTCATCTTAGGGCCAAGAGAACCCAAGACAAGACAGGCTGAGGGACGTTAGTTAAGGGCCAGACAGAATCAGGAGAGCAAAATGACATAAAAACTTCAGGAGAGCACAGGAATGGGGGTGGGGTGGGGGGACCTGGACACTTATTAGCCATTTCTGACCAGGGACAAGTCTCAACTTCTCTGAACTCATTTCATGTATAAAAGGGGAATCAATAACGATACCTGCCCTACTTATGATACCTACATACCAAAGGGCTGAGAATGCTTTGTACTCAATTATTTCTTTTTTTTTGTGGGGGGGGGAGTGGGTAGGAAGGAATGTGAAATCTCTCTCCTAGTAGGAACCCTGATCCTTCTCACCCAAAGTAGCAAAGCCAAGACCTCATGCCCTTCACCCTGGGGCAGTTCCCTGATACACTGAGGTGTGACAGCAATCTAACAGCTGGGCTGCATTAGGAGGTAAGGCATAGGGAATGACTGACTGACTGAATGAAAAGCATTTATTAAGCCCTTACTATGTGCAAAGCACTTTGCCAAGCACTTAGGATACAAATAGTAAAGGGACAGTCTTGCCTTCTTTACCATTCTCTGGGGCTTCAAGGACCCAGGGATTGCCAGAATCACTCGGATTACAGTCAAAGAAATTAAAATGAAAATATTGTGATGAGACAGAAGACTGGCCTGGGAGCCAGGAAACCTGCTTCTAGTTCTGGATCTGCCAGGAATTTGCTTGGAAAGCTTGACCAAATTAATTCTGCAATCCGAGTCTTGTGAAATGATTCTATGTCTCACCACACTCCTTTCTGGACGGTCTCTATTACAGGGTAGAGACAATGGATCTGACTGGAGAAACTGGGGTCTTTACAATTAGATGGTAATCAAGGTCCTGATGTGCGGATTCCCATTCCCCACTTAGAAGCCCTAGTGTGCTGACTGACACAGGTTAAGTAGATACCTCTGCCATGACCAGTTTTGAGTCAGGGAGCTACACTGTTCTGAGACAGAAACCTGGTGCTCAGCCCAAGGAAACTGAGGAGAGCCACAGGCTGAATCCTTCTTAACGAAGGTGGAGATTCCCCCTAGGGCCTACAAATGAACCAGAGTCACAGGGGTCAGCCCTAGTCCTCAGAAGAGCGCTGAGGGCTGCAGATCGTGAGGAAGTGGATGGGGACAGAAGAGCTGGGTGGGAGTGAGGGTGCATTGGGTATGACTTGTCTCTGTCATTCCCCAAAGTTGGTTGGCTCAGAGGCAGGTCACAATCCTGAGATTTGGTTGATGAGGAAGAATAACAGAAAAAAACCAGCCATCGTTCCCCTCCCCCTCCCTCCCTTCCACTTTAGCAGCTGACTCCTTCACTGTCACGTGGTAGTTTGCTCTTCCCACTACCTAAAGCTCAGAAGAGCAAGAGCCCCAAATAAAAGGTGTAACTAGCACTTCAGGCTGGGCAGGCAACCAGGCCAAAGGCTATGGAAGGATCCTGCCAATCTATGCCAAAAAACACAGATGTGCAGCTTTAGCAAAGCCTGGAATAGTGGAGGACACTCTCCCGGATCGGAAGCCCAGGCCCCCAGAGACCTGTCCCGGGCTCCTCCCACCACTGGGGCCTGCATCCTGCGACTGCTCTTACGCCTTCACCTCTGCCAAGAAGATAACAAGGGTCTCCCCTTCGGTGGGGGTGGGGCAGGGAGCATTCACAGTTAAAAGGCTGATCTAAGAAAACTTACTAGGTATTTTCTGCCTTGTCTTCTGGCAGCAGGGATAGCCAGGCACATGTTTCTATGAAGAAACTGCTTCCTGGCCTAGGAGATCTGAGGTCTATCTCATCATTACAAGTGAAAACAATTCCAGCAAGTCTCCATGTTTTCAAATTTCCAGGTTTAATTTCAATGCCAACTAAGTGTAGAGAAGATGGGCTTTCTTTGGGTTACACAACTTGGATGGAGATAGGCACCAGGCTGTACCCACCCACTCCCACCCACCCCCACCCTTGAGCCTGTGCTGCCGGGACATCTGGCTGCTGTGAAGCTGGGCAGATCTGAGTACTGAATGAGCTCTCAGGTGGCAGGGACAAAATGTAAGAGCTATTCAACTGTGTTAATTCACCACTAAGACTCAAGTTACCAGGATCAGATCACCCTACAGAAAATTTAGGGCCAGACACACCTACAAAGGAGATTTTTCGATTGGTGACCTGTGGATAAGAAGCTCTTGTCAGAACAAAAAGCCTTCGCCTTGGTATGGGTTCTGTGCTTTGCAGTTCCCCAGACAGCCCCTAGCAGGCCTGGGACCCGTCCAGAGAACTGGTGAAATAGAGAGGAATTCAAACTTTAATCTGATTGGTTTAATGGGTATTTTTTTTTTTCAGCAGGAGAAAAAAAAAGGAATAAAGTTACAAGATTCTTTTAATATTTTCACAATGTTAAACTAAAACGGAGTTCTAGGCTACGTGTAAGTAAATCTAGAACACAAAAGGGTTAAATAAGATTTTGTTTCCTTTTAAAGTTACAAGTATTTAAGCTTTCCTTTCATTTAACAAACTTCACAGAACAGATACTTCAGAGGAACAAGCCCTACCTCCTCTCCCAGCCCCAACCTTGACTGTCAATAGAGTGAACATCGTCCATTATGTACCAGGGCCCGCCTGCCAAGGCGGCTTCCCCTGGGCCACCTTTAATTAAGCCAGCAGGGCCAAAGAATGGCCACGCAGGCACAGGAAAGGGCAGTAGATGGAGGCTCTTGGGAGGCAATGGGAGAGCTCGGGTCCAACATCCCCAGAGTGAGACAGACGGGATGCCGCCGTGGATAACTAAGTGGATAGCATGTGCTGAGGCTGTTTTAGAAAAGTGGCAGGTGTGGGGACCAAATCAACTAGGCCTCTTCCCCCCCTCCACTGGGGAGCTAAGACCATTATTATGAAAAATATTAAGGCTGAAGATTTTTATAAAGGACTTTCTTTTTTTGGGGGGAGGGGGGCAAAGGAAGAGGGGATTATTTCCTATTTCTTCACACGTTTTAGATGAAGAAACATTTCTAATTCCCAGGTCTTCCACTGTAATTGAGCAAACACATCATTGGCCTCTTTTCTTTTTAAAACCTAAGTTGCTGGGGGAAACTGTTCTAGCAGCCTGAGTATAGGGACATCCAAGTGGTCTCTTTGGGGGACCCTCTTATTGTCCACACGACTGAAATGGTTTTAAAGTTGTACCATCTGGACCTTGCCCAATATTTCAAGTTCCAAGTGATTCTAATCTCTCCCTCCACCCACTCATTCCCAGTCCTCATCCTCATCCCCTCCCCTCTTTCCTTTCCCTTCCCTCTCTTCTGCTTCCCTTCCTGCCTATCCAGTCCGATCCCACCCAGGCCTGGCCTACAGCAATGGAACTCCCCTGTGCCCGTGTCAGGAGATGTGCAATTTAGGCTCAGCAAGTGTGCTTGGATGTCCCTGGCCCACAGCAGTTGCTTTCAGAAGATCCCAACCTTCCTGATTCTAGTCATACATGTCATATTCTCCTACTGCACGTGACAGCTTTTCCCTTATACTATGAGGCTGCATAGAAAGAGGCGACAAGTCCATGTGACTATCCTGGTAACACTTTGAAGGTGAGAAGACAAACTCTGATGGCTGCTGCTGCTCCTCAGTTGTTCCCCAATACTGTTACTGACTTCTGTTTGCTATGAAGTATGTCCCCCCTTGCACCCTACCTCCCTGGCCCCTTACCACCAACAGTGAAGTCTAGCTACAGAGAACTGTCTGTAGAACCCAGCCATCCCCATGGCCGCTGTGCTGTGATTTAGCCTTATTGAATCAATTATCAGATACCTGCACCCAGCAAATGGTAAATAAGAGTCAGTCAGGTTTCAGTTTCCCTGGTCAGTACTGATCCAATCAGGTCGAATGAGACCGATACAGAGTCTATAGATCCTAGGTAGAAAAATGCATTTTGTAGACTAGTCTGGGGTGGAGCTAATATTCAAAGCAAGGCTCTCTCTCTTTTTTTTTCTTCTCCAAGTGATAAGACAGATTTTCCACAGTAAATCTGGCATAAGAGTTTTCGCCCTCCTCCTTCTGCCCCTGCCTTTCCAGCCTCCTAGGAGTTCCCCTGTGGGCCACGCTGGCAGCCACGAGCAGCCCAGGCACGAGGGGCCGACAGGGAGCTCTGGCTTCTGGGGCCGGGGTTAAGGATGAGAGAGACGTGAAAAGGCTGTACATTAAACACAGAGTTTCTGGCAAGGCCGTGGGCGTCTCAGGAACGGTTTTGAACACCAGCTTCTACTCCCCTATTTACTTAAAGTCTCCGTCTGGACCATTTTCAGCTTAAGGCTTTTTATAAGTTTTGACTCCAGCAATGACATCTGTTTGCTTTGTTTTACATCCACTAGCCATGCTCAAAAAAAATTATTCTTCATGTTTTAATTTTATACAGTGGCTAGCAGGCACCTTCATAACCAGCCAGAAATCAATTTCAACCACCATCAACCCCTAAACTACAGTACCAGGACGGCTGGCTAAAGAAAGGAAACGGATTGGCTGTAGTCTGAAATGTGCCCAGTACAAGGTGTCTGGCTGACTCTGTCCTAAATAAGGCTAACATTAGTGAACTAAGAACAGGGTGTGGCTGCTGAGCTCTGCACTCAGGAGCAGCCCTCCCCAATGCGCTGGCAGGATCTCCCCACTTTCCGGTCCAGTTTCACCATTTTCAGGATGGCTTCCTCACGGCCGCGGCCCATGTGGTCAAACGTACAGTCGTGCTGCTCAGGGAGGCGGTGTAACATACAAAACACGTAACCTGCAGGGGGAGAGGTGGAGACATGCCATTAATGACTCATTCAACCCAGAAGCCTGAGAACCCGGGAGGGGAGCAAGGGGAGATGGGGCCCACGTGTCATAGACTGACTTTCTGAAATTTTCTTATTTCATAATGCCCTCCTTCCTTTATATGGGTGCCCATGTCCAACAGGGTGAAGATGGAGGGGCCCAAGGCACCACTGAAGTAAAGTGGGAAATGCAAAAGCCACGGAACTCAGTGCCCCCAGAGGCCACCTCAGCACTTTCTCTGACACAGGGAAGCTGTGTAACATCTATCACAAGGCACACCATCTGCCACAGGACATGCCATCTCTAGGAAGCAGGAGAAAGGGGGGAATAAAATATGTATCTATATAATTACTCAAATTACATTTTGCCTCCCATCTAGCAAAGGCTTAAGGGATGTTGGGATTGATAAAACTACAACTGAGTAAGAGGCCTCATGAGAAAAGGGATTATTTTGAAGTACTAGAAAAGGTATTACAAATAAATACAGAGGGGAGAACACTCCCATGAGGACAAGCAACCTTTAATCATCTGCTTAAAGGAACACACAGCTCTCAAATGCCACCTTGTAAGAAAGTGGGCATGTTTCCTTGGGACTCCAGCCAAAGCAGACACTAAACCCCCATTATTCCCACAGGGGTCCTACACAATACCTGTATGGGAAAGGAGAGAGGACAGGGAGAGGGTCAGCTGGTCTTGCACAACAGAAAGGGGCTGGTGGGATTTTGGAAGGGGAGCCAACTGAAAAAGATTGTTAAAGATGAGACACCTTTTCCAGAGAAGGGTGAGTACCTCACACATTAAGGAATCAATCCATATGAAGACAGAAGACAAAGGAAAATAAAAGATCTGCTCTCTCTAGGCTGCAGTCCTTGGTTCTTCCTCATTTTCTGGGCAGGAATAGAGACTACCTGGTCTAGATTCTCCCCCCTTGGGAAGGAAGCCTTAGCTGGGGAGGCTTCTGGAAATGAGTCTGTCCTCACCTACATTCCATTCCTACCTCCCACCCCAAACAAACTGGCAGTATTCCCAACTAAGGTACTGTCTTTGGGGGCATAAGGAAATTATTATAAGGAACTGTATAATTTCCTAGACCATATTTTGCACCATTCCAGCCACCTCCTTCAAAAACTGCCTCTAAAACCACCTTGGACCTCCTCCCCCCACTTTCCAGGCATCTCCAAACCATGCCCTCCACAGTCTGTCCCCAATCCTCTCCCAGCTTCCCTTTGAATATTGTCTTCCCTCATTAGAATGTAAGCTCTTTAAGATCAACTGTTGCTTGCTTTAATTTGTATCTCAAGCACTCTGCAAAGTACCTGGCATATAGTAAGTGCTTAATAAATGCTTTATGGTTTATTCCTAAGATATCTTTCCTGATGACAGATTTCAAGTATGTAAAAATTTGGGTCAAGGAGAAGAGGGAATAAGGCTGATAATAAAGTAGGTAAGGAGGCAGAGCTAAGATGGCAGAGTAAAAGCAGTGACTTCCTTCAGCTCTCTCCCAAACCCCTCCAAATACCTGTAAAAAATGGCTCTAAACAAATTCTAGAGCAGCAGAACCCACAAAAAGACAGAGTGAAACAAATTTTCAGCCCAAGACAACCTAGATGGTTGATTGGAAAGGTCTGCTGCACTGGGCTGGGAGAGGAGTGCTGTTCAGCGTAGGCTGCACAGGCAAAGACAGGGCCAGAGCAAACCTGGAGCAGGCCTCAGGAGACAATCATGGGCCACTGTGGTGGTTTCCAGACTTCACAGCCCATAAACACCAAACACAACTTAGAAGTTTAGTGGGAAACGTCTGTTGGACTGGGCGAGTGAGGAGCATGGTCCAGGCCTGGCCCGAGTACAGCCCCGGGTGGCGGCCACTGCAGCAGTGGCTGTTTTTAGAGCCCCCACAGAGAGTGGAGGGATCGAGCGGCTGATCAGAGGGGAACTGCAGGGATCTCTTTGCTGGCTCTGAGGCAGGATTCTCTTGCTTTGCCCATGCTTGTATTTGGGTTGTGTAGTACTGGGGTGAAGAGGAGTGCTGGTGTAGTGGTGGTAGAGAGGGAATCCTCCTCAGAGATCCAAGGCAGAAAAGAGTGCCTATGGTCACTCATAGACCAGAGCACAGGCCAGGAAGGGAGCAAACACCTCTCCTTTGATCATACCACTTTAGAAGAACTGAAAATTTACAAGTCCCTAGAAGTATCTCTGAAAACAGCTGCACAAAACCCCTGAACTTGGGACAGTACACCCTCCATACACCCTCCACATTGGAAACAGAGCTCTACCTTAACAAAGAATTAAAAAGTCAAGTAATTGGCTGGGAACATGAGCAAACAGAGAAAAAAACTCGGACTACAGAATCTTACTTTGGTGACAAAGAAGATCAAAACATACAACCAGAAAAAGACAACAAAGTCAAAGCTCCTGCATCCAAAGCCTCCAAGAAAAATATGAATTGGTCTCAGGCCATGGAAGGGCTCAAAAAGGATTTTGAAAAGCAAGTAAGAGAAGTAGAAGAAAAATAGGAAAGAGAAATGAGATTGATGCAAGAAAATAATGAAAAACGAGTCAACAGCTTGCTAAAAAGGAGACCCCAAAAATACTGAAGAAAATAACACCTTAAAAAATAGACTAGACCAAATGGCAAAAGAGGTCCAAAAAGTCAATGAGGAGAAGAATGCCTTAAAAAGCAGAATTGGTCAAATGGAAAAGGAAGTCCAAAAGTTCACTGAGGAAAATAATTCCTTAAAAATTAGAATGGAGCAAATGGAAGCTAGTGACTCTATTAGAAACCAAGACATTGTAAAACAAAACCAAAAGAATGAAAAAATATAAGACAACATGAAATATCTCACTGGAAAAACAACTGACCTGAAAAACAGATCCAGGAGAGATAATTAAAAAATTACTGGAATATCTGAAAACCTTGATCAAAAAAAAGCCTAGACATCATCTTTTAAGAAATTATCCAGGAAAACTGCCCTGATATTCTAGAACCAGAGGGTAAAACAGAAATTGAAAGACTCTACCAATCACTTCCTGAAAGAGATCCCCAAAGGAAAACTCCTAGGAATATTGTAGCCAAATTCCGTAGTTACCAGGTCAAGGAGAAAATAGTGCAAGCAGCCAGAAAGAAACAATTCAAGTATTGTGGGAACACAATCAGGATAACACAAGATTTAGCAGCTTCTACATGAAGGTATCGAAGGGCTTGGAATATGATACTCCTGAGTTAAAAAAGCTAGGATTACAGCCAAGAATCACCTACCCAGCAAAACTGAGTATAATCCTTCAGGGGAAAAAATGGACATTCAATGAAATAGGGGACTTTTAAGCATTCTTGATGAAAAGACCAAAGCTAAATAGAAAATCTGACTTTTCAAATACAAGACTCAAACTTCTCTTGAGAAGCATGAAAAGGTAAACAGGAAAGAGAAATCATAAGGGACTTATTAAAGTTGAACTGTTTACATTCCTACATGGAAAGATGATATTCGTAAAGCAAGAGACTTCTCTCAGTATTAGAGTAGTTTGAAGGGAATATATATAGACAGAGGGCACAGGGTGAGTTGAATAGGAAGGAATGATACCTTAAAAATAAAATTAAGGGGTGAGAGAGGATTGTACTGGGAGAAAGAGAAAGAGAGAGGTAAAATGGGGTAAATTATCTCACATAAAAGAGGCAAGATAAAGCTTTTACAGTGGATGGGAAGTGGGAGGAGGTGAGAGAAAATGAGTGAATCTTACTCTCATTGGATTTGGTTTAAGGGGGGAATAACATACATACTCAATTGCATATGGAAATCTATCTTACCCTACAGGAAAATAGGAAGGGGATAAGAGAGGGGGGAGCGGTGGATGACTGAAGGGATGGCAGTTTGGAGGAGGAGGTAATCAGAAGCAAACACTTTGAGGGGGGATAGGGTCAAAGAAGAGAATAGAAAAAATGGGGGGCAGGGTAGGATAGAGGGAAATATAGTAAGTCTGTCACAACATGAATATTATGGATGTGTTCTGCATGACAACACATGTATAACCTATACTGAATTGCTTACCTTCTCAATGAGGGCAAGGAGGAAGGGAGAGAATTTGGAACTCAAAGTTTTAAAAACGAATGTTAAAAATTGTTTTTACATGCAACTGGGAAATAAGATATATATGGCAAAGGGGTATTGAAATCTATCATGTCCTACAGGAAAATAGAAGGGGAAGGGGATAAGAGAAGGGGTGGTGGTGATAGAAGGGAGGGCAGATTGGGGGAAGGGTTATTCATAATGTACATTATGTTGGGATGGGGGTAGAGGAGAGATGGGGAGAACATTTGGAATTCAAAATCTTGTGAAAGTGAATGTTGAAAACTAAAAATAAATAATTTTTTTTTTTAAAGTAGCTAAGTTTAATGTCAAAATACAAACAAACAAACAAACAAAAAAACCCCAAACCAAACTTTCACAACAATCAGAGCTGACCAAAAGTAGAATGGTATACCAGAGGTGCTCTTCAAGCAGAGGGAAGATGACCACTTACTGGCTGTGTTGTAGAGGGAATTTTCTCAGTTATGGGTTGAACTAAATGACTGTATGATTCTGTAACATTATGGGGCTAGGAGTAGGGAGAGACGGGCAAAACTAGGCAATAGGATTAGGCCAAATAGCCGTCATCACAGTATTCTGATCACATTAATCCCCTACTCAAAATTTTTCAAAGACTCTGTCCTACCATCCAACAAAGTCTAAACTGCTCAGCCTGGTATTTATAGCACTCCACCTTACTTCAATAGCCTTCTCTCATATTTCTTCTAGCTCATGTATTCTAGGCTCTGGCCACAAAGGAAAACTATGCCTCCTCTGGTCCTAACACGATCTCCTTACTAACCCCCGCCACCTGCCAAAATGCAGCACTGTTCCTAATATAATCAAATGCTACCACTTGTGTAAAGTTTTCCATGACCTGCCTAGTTAGAAGCCATTTTTTACCCTCAAC